CTACGTTTTACTTGTTTGGCAGATTGGGGACCGAAGGTTGATGTTGTTGTTTTTTGTTTTCTTGACCTTGCTTCAAATTATGAACCCCCAGATTCACTTGCGGAGTGGCTTGAAGCTGGTGAACAGTGTCTTGGAGTCTTGAAGCAGGCTTGAGGTTTTGACACCACTGCAAGTAGGTTTTGATGCTATAGGGGAACAGATTTGAGTTCATGACCAACAAGAGAGAGATCAAAGACAAGTCACTGACCTGAATTTCGTCAATTCTCTGTAGAACATGTTCGTTGTTCAAAGCTGTACAAAGGTGAAGCATTCTCTATCTGGAAATAGAGCTCGAATGGAGGCTCATATCTATATTGGCCATTCATACTGTACAATTAGCGCCTCCAAGTCCAACATACATAGATAACATAATTCAAGAGTAGCAGTGCTCAATGTGCCTAGAATGTCATAAATTCGTAACCTAAAAGCAGATAATGCCAATTTAACAATACATGTATGAATTGGCAAGCAAATTCTTGAAAATAAGATTGCTCTCTCTCTCTCTCTCTCTCTCTCCTAAAAAAAAATGCAGAAATCTTCTCAAACAAACTAAGAAGAGCCAGATAAATACCTCATTTTTCGCAACTACATCGCTTTTCTGTCATCAACTGGCTTCAAAGCAAGCTCCAGATAGTCACGGGGAATTGTCCTTCCACTATCCTCAGATAAATCCAGATACAAGTCCTGAAACCAAGGCAGTGTAAATTACCACAAATGGTACACAGTCTACTCAATACACTGTGTATTCATACGACGATAAAAAACAAAAAACAAAATAACCACAACAGAGGAACCATTATCATAAGAATAATAGGATTACAATAATTATTGTAGTTGATGGCACAGATATCCAAGAAGCTACAATAGAGAAATACAAACATATACAGTTTTATTTCTCACAGCAACATTCAACTGGTGGGGAGGCAATAGTATTAGCCCCATCTTACTGGTCAGAAGTTCATAGAGTGCAAGCAGGACAGAGAAAGAGAGAGAAGAGGTGGTCAGAAAAGGTAAATGCTTTAAGTATTTTAGGCCCCATCTTAATATCTTGAAGTTAATCAATGATTCATAACCCCAAGTTTTAAATATATTCTCGAATATTTTAATGGCATAGCCGCGGGCTATACTCTTCAAATTACTTCAAATATTTTAATAGTACAGCCGCACGGCTATACTATATAAATATTTTCGAATATTTTAACATCTGGGCTAGACTATGTGAATATTTTAATAGTATAGCCGCCCGGCTATACGGATTTTTTTTTCCCCAGAAGCGATGCGTAGATTCTACAAACATAGCCATAGGCAGTGGCGGAGCCACTCCTAGACCTGGAGTGGCCCTGGCCCCCCAATATTTTTACCACTCTTCTATTATATTATATATAATATATAGAATTTGTAATAAACAACTTAGAATTAAAGTTAAAATGTCCTCTAAAACAAATTAGATATGACTTAATTAGAAATATTTAGCTCTAAACATGTAAGTATTGAATATTTAAGTGTTTTATATACTTATATTTTCTATTTCGGCCCCCCCAACTTTACAATTCTAGCTCCGCCCCTGGCCATAGGAAACGAAACTGCAACACGCTACTCTCAGTGAATGTTCAGAGATATCCACAATTTTTTCTCTGAAGATGTCCACTAATCGCGTGATCTGAAAATTAGAGCAGACAAACAAGATCAGGTACAAGGATGTAATAACACAATAAGATCATCTTAAACAGTGCTCATAACCGTCAACTAGAAAAGAACTCTTTTTTATCCCCAGAATTATCACATACAACACAACAAATATAAGGTAACCCTCACTGTTGTGGTGAATGCCTGCAAAACACAACAAATACATTGCAGGTTTGGACTTTATCAACACACAACCACAACAATCAAGAATCTTACAGAAAAGTGACTTCAAATCCTTTGAAGAATCAAGCAACAACATCACCCTATAAAACTAATTTAATTACAAGAGGCAAAAGCGTGCTTCAACTACATTCATTACAAGATCAAAATCCCCTCAAGAAAATGTAAACAGACAACGGGTAACACCAAAAATAAGAAGCATATTTCAGGAGAAGTACCTCAAGCTCCCGTTTAGGTTCATTGGAAACTGGCGGAAGACATAGCGACAAACTTATCATAAATAGTCAATTTTATAATTCTTACACATTACGAATGAAGCGTTAGAAATTAATATAACATGAGACCTTAACAAATTCAAAGAAATTGCTAATCATACACCAAGTGCATATGAACCCAATTACACTGTCAAACTTCGAGAGAGTTATGAAACTTGTTCCGTGTGAAGTGGCCGGCAACTGTGCCACAGATTATATAGGGATACAGAAATATGGCAAACCACAAGCGAAAGAGGGATAGGAATTAAAAGAAATATGAACCTGAAGAAATGGGGAAACAATATCTCTATTGTAAGTTAGCTCGTCCAGAATTATCTCCACCACAGGAGTTCTGCACCAAATCCAAAAAGTGCATGTATTTTCAATAAATAGAATATGGTACATGAGAGAGAGAGAGAGAGAGAGATATATATATATATATATAACTTTAACTCTCTCCATCAGCTCTGGTAGTAGAACCTTGCATATCTGCAGCACTCGTCTTGGACACATCAAGCTCCGTTATCTGAAAAGGACCGAAATCAGTGCCAGTGCATAAACTGATTCTACAAATATTAGGGGCTCACCATGCAGGTATGCTTTCCTACCTCAAGTAAAGAAATTGCAGAAGCAGTATCAAAATTTTCAGCTGGTTATTGTGCCGTAGAATTCTTTGAACATATCATTTAATCGGTGCATCCAGCATAGGTTTGATACAGTTTAGACAAAATGGTCAAAAGAAATCCTTCATCAAGCTTAGTAGTTTACTTTTCTCGACACCTACAAAAGGTAACTTAAATTGGAGGGCAAGAGTCGTGGTACAAAAATCACTTACTAACCAGTGGACAACAGGCTCTTCAGTATTCATGGTTTGAAAGAGAAGGGGAATACCAGAAGCATGTTGAGTAAAGACTCTCTCAGAACTACCCATTTCGTGGTATCTGCATATACTTAGATATCAATTTAACTTCATAGACACTGTTGCGTGGTCGAAAATCTCCTTTAAAAACATGAACTGGGTATTATAACACGTTTCCTAAGGACTGCAACAAAAGAAGATCAAGTAAGACCAAAAAATATGGGGAAATTCACATTACCGTTTTATTTCATTTATTCCATCAAACAAAGATCATGAAAGAAGGTGATGAACATGTGGGATTTGCTTTGAAGTCTAAAACCCATATGATTGAATTGGTTTCTCCAAGTATTTTTGGATAAAATTATACTGTAACGTTGGCCTTACGAACGATGATGTGGTATGATAACCCCATATAAGTTTAGGGCTTAAAAATCTTGTTCACATGATGACACACAACATAGGCAGAGGAAATTTTGCAACTATAACAGTCATGATAGGATTTCCGTCAAGGTCTTCTGAGACAGAAATCATAAATGCCGCTACACGCATGTACCCTGTTTTACATCCCTCAAATCTCTCATAATCAATGAATATTGCAATCTTGAAAGAGAGAACATGCTACTAGCTATATAAACTTCATGTTCTACAACAGTAGCTCTCATGGCAACAATCAAATAACACATGTGCTGACAGATACCCAAAATGATCAATCTCCATATTATATGTTGAAACTAGCAATTTAATATCTATAAAGTATAAACTAATGCAACTAGGAAAGTCCTTTTCTCTTAATTGTTTATTTATTAAATCGTCTAGCCCCACGGCTATACCTTAATGTATTTAAAGAGTATCTCCGCTTGGCTATACTATAGTTTTGTCTTAAAATAGTATAGCCGCGGGCTATACTCGGGTTTTTATTTTTTCATAAAAATCCTATGGCCGAGCGGCTGTACTTATTTTTTTTAAATAGTACAGCCCCGCGGCTACACTTATGTTGACACGTCAGTCCTCTTTTTAAAAATAGTATAGCCGCGCGGCAATCATCCGCATTTTTTATTTAAAAAATAATATAGCCGCGCGGCCATACTTATTTGGACACGTGATTTCTTACGGTCCTGTCTCTGGACTAAAACCAGTGAGTATCTTTTGTGCCTTACGATGTAAATAAAAACACTAATCACAATCACATCATTGAGTCTTCCGAGTTAGTTTGCTGACTGCGGCTATCCTCATCTCACTTGAATATTTAACCACCATCTGATTGTGTGTGCTTTAGAGGGCTCGTGGTACTTCTAGACCTCTTATTTACTCTAGCTTGCCTCCAGAAGAGCAACTTTCGAATGAGCTCCAGATATAGATAAATTTAATACAAATTTATAAATAAACCCAATCCTAAACATGTATTTATAGAAAAACCCAAGCACTATTTAAACATAGAAACACACCCAAAACCCATCATTACACACATTCAAAATCCATTTATAAACACACCCAAAAAGTTGACTTTTGGGTTAATTTTGGGTGTGTTTCTATGTTTAAATAGTGCTTGGGTTTTTTTATAATTTAAGCCCCCATTTTGGGTGTTTTAGTGAAACTCCCTCCAAAGCTGCTCCATCAAACCTGCAAGAGCAGTTTCCCATGCCAAATATATATCAGTATATCAATTAAAATGTTAAAGACATCGGGGGCAAGCCACTGTTGTTTACCTTAAGAACATTATCAATATTAGCATCACTAGCATGGCAAGCTATTCTCAGCTTCCTTTCCAAGCTTTGTATACCATTTGAACATTGCAACTCTGCCTCCATATATGCATTCCTTTTACAATCCTGCATGAGTAGCCAATTTAAACGAATAAGACCAGTATACAAGAGATGAGCTAATAAGATATACATATCCATATATACTGCAACAAACTATTTGTTATCACAAAGAATTCAATTATATATGAGGCAACAACAAGATTCTTATCTTTTTCTTCGGGATTTTTGGGATGGTGAAAAGCGGACTTAATACACCTCAAGAGCATAATCATACAATGCCTAAGAAATTTGTAATCAGAGTTGTTCCAGAGTCAGTTTCTTATTCACCCTCTATTCCGTATGAAGTCTGAGATCTAAAAGGGTTATTTGATTATTGTATTCTCCATTGTTGTAGTTTAAAATGAAAACATAACATCCACTTCAACATCTACTCTCTTCAGATAAGACACAGGGCAACATATATTATTTATGTAACCTCAATGAAACAGCACAAAGAAGCTAACCAAGACAAAAATTTATATAGCACGCATCCAATTCCAGTTGGTTGGTCAACTGCATTAGAAAAACTTAGCCTTCAAGTTCAACACAAACAAATATCAATAAAGAGAGTAACAGATTCGAGTTCATGACCTACAAGAGATAGATCAAAGACAACAGTGAGTCACTGACCTGAATTTCGTTAATTCTCTATAGATCATGTTCGTTGTTCAACGGCCGTACAAGCATTCTCTATCTGAAAATAGAGCTCGAATGGAGGCTCGTATCTATATTGGCCATTCATACTGTACAATTAGCTCCTCCAAGTCCAACATACATTATACATAGAGAACATAATTCAAGAGTAGCAGTGGTCAATGTGCCTAGAATGTCATAAATAGCTAACAAGCGTAACCTAAAAGCAGATAATGCCAGTTTAACAGTACATGTATGAATTGGCAAGCAAATTCTTGAAAATAAAAGGTCAAGATTTCTCTCTCTCTCTCTCTCTCTCTCTC